GGGTTCATCGCTCGCACGGGCAGTCACGTGCGCTGTAGTCACAGGGACACGTTCTGGGAAAAGCCTCTGAGGCGGTGCAACGGGGCAAAACAGCCTGCGGTTCCTGGCCCCACGCCTGTTCCACACGCTACTGCACAGAACAACACGGGACCGAGCCAGCACAGGAGGTGATGCAATCAGGTGTCAACACGGACGTGTGGGGCTGCTGCTGGCGTAACCTGTGACTGTTTGAGGTTTTATTTACTGGGTTTTAGAGAGAAACATGGATTTGTTGTTCCACTTATGGATGTGTTCATTGGTTGATTCTTGTATGTGCCCTGACCAGGGATCGAACCCACAACCTTGGTGGATGGGGATGACGCTCTAACCAACTGAGCCACCCGGCCAGGGCGGCATCCTGTGAGACAGAGCGAGCTTCTTGTGATAAGTAGAGAGTATAGTACACGTGAGGCAGCAGCCGCCACTTACGATCGAGTACGACAAACTGTCCGTATTGTGTGTGCTCGTCTGTCGACACCAGCATCACCGCAGCGTGAAGCAGGCCTGTGCTGCCAGGTCATGGCGGCTGTGAGGTCACTGGGTGACGGGGATTTTTTAGCTCCATTAGGACCTTATGGTGCCGTGGGGTCACGGACCGAGACGTCCTCGGGGCGTGACTGTTAACAGAAGCTGAAGCCAGTGAAGCAGCAGCAGGGCCAGTGGGGGGGCGGGGGCAGGGGGCTCCCACGACAGCCGATTCAGAACATTCAGTAACTGAGCAGCTGGAGGCAGTGCTCTGGATGGAACCCGGGAAAAGGGTCAGAAAGAAAAAGGGTAACTCCCTGCAGGTGACCAGATTGTGGGTTTTTACACATTTTTATCTATCCTTTATTTCCTAAATTTATTTTTTTATAATTGTGAAAAGCTATGGCTGTTATTTCTAAGAAGTGCACCTTCTCAGGTCATTGGGTGGGTCCAGAGAGCCACGCAGCCTGTCGTCGGGGCCCGGCTGCCCAGGCTCCCCCGGTGCCTCGTGGCAGGGCCCCGAGTGTGCACACCCCGGTCAGCGTCTGTCCCTATGAAGCTGTTGCCCACCTGTGTACTGGGTGGGACGTGCTGCCAGGGTGCGAGGAAGGAGCTGGGCGGGGCCTGCTGGTGGCACTGGGCCTGGGCTCCAGTGTGTGGGGGCAGAGCAGCCTCTCCCAGGAGCCCGCACGGGCAGGGTGCGTGCGCTCCTCCCCAGGGGCCGGCCCCCTGCAATCTGACTCCTCCGTGCCTTCCAGACGACGCCTTCATCAACCCGCACCTGGCCAAGATCTTCGAGCGGGTGCGGCAGAGCGCGGACTTCATGCCCCTGAAGCAGATGACGGTGAGGCGGGCGGTGCCGTGCCGGGGCCTGGGCTGCAGAGGAGCTGCGGGGCCTCCTGGGAGGGGCTGGGCTGGGCTGGGCTGACGGTCCCTCCCTGCCTCTCCCTCCAGAAAACTCTCAACAATGACCTGGGCCCCAACTGGAGGGACAAGCTGGAGTACTTCGAGGAGCGGCCCTTCGCAGCCGCCTCCATCGGGCAGGTGCACCTGGCCCGCATGAAGGACGGGCGGGAGGTGGCCATGAAGATCCAGGTAGGCGCTGGGTGCACCGTCCCACAGGGGCTGCGAGGGGAGCCGGCCGTGGTGTGGGCCCTGCAGGGCGGGGTCCGTGTTGTCGTTTCTGGCCCCAGCGCCTGGTCAGCACTGGGCGCTGGAACGGGTTCGCCCAGTGAGTGGCTGTGGGGGTGGAACAGCCCCCAGGAGCTTGGCGTGGGTGAGGACGGGACCTGATTGTCTCTTTGGGCCCGAGCTGGAGGGCTGGGCCCTGAGTGGCGGCTGTTCCTAGAGATGGGGTGGGAGGGAGAGGTAGGCAGCTGTGACTCACCCAAAGAGTGGGGTCCCGCTCTGCTCATGGGACACCCCCTGCTCCCCCTGCAGTACCCTGGCGTGGCCCAGAGCATCAACAGCGACGTCAACAACCTCATGGCCGTGCTGAACATGAGCAACGTGCTTCCGGAAGGTCTGTGCTCGCTGCTGGCCTCCGGCAGGCATTTGGGACGGGCTCTGGGTACCGCGGGGGCCTCCCTAGGGAGCCCTCTGCTCACCCGGACACCCTCCTACCCTGTCCAGGCCTGTTCCCCGAGCACCTGATCGACGTGCTGAGGCGGGAGCTGGCCCTTGAGTGCGACTACAAGCGAGAGGCCGCCTGTGCCAAGAAGTTCAGGTGCAGCTCCTGGCGGGGCCGCTGGGCTGGGGGCCCCGTGCCTGTTGCTGTCCCCAGCAGGGGACAGAGGGGCCGTCTTCAGGCAGCCCAGGGGGGAAGGGGTCCTGAGGGGTGGGTGCCTGTGGCCCGGGTCCTGCCCACTGAGAAGCAGGTCCCACTTGGCCAGTCCCTGTTGTCCTGCCTGCCTCCCCCAGGGTGGGTGTGGGGGGAGCTGGCCGGTGTGACTTCCACCCCACAGGGAGCTGCTGAAGGACCACCCCTTCTTCTACGTGCCCGAGGTCGTGGACGAGCTCTGCAGCCCCCACGTGCTGACCACAGAGCTCGTGTCTGGCTTCCCCCTCGACCAGGCGGAGGGGCTGAGCCAGGAGATCCGGAACGAGGTGTGTCTGCAGCAGGCCTTGCAGCCTCCAGGTGACCCCTGTGTGGCTCAGGGGGACGGGGCTGCGTGTCCTCCCCTTGCCCCCAGGTAGTTCCCTTGGAACTAAGTGTCATCTGGGCAGAAGGTGGGGCTGGGAGTCAGGCTTCCCCAGCCCTAGACTCTCAGTCACCAGGCTCTCCCTGCCCCCAGATCTGCCACCACATCCTGGTCCTGTGCCTAAGGGAGCTGTTTGAGTTCCACTTCATGCAGACAGACCCCAACTGGTCCAACTTCTTTTATGATCCTGAGCAGCACAAGGTGAGCCCTGCGTGGGGGCAGGGCAGGGGCCGGAGGTCTCTGCTGGAGCGGGGCTCCGAGGTCGGGGGTCTCAGCCCCCAGTTGCCAACCTGCCCCTGCTCTCGCCCATTCCCAGGTGGCTCTCCTGGACTTTGGGGCAACTCGGGAATTTGACAGATCCTTCACTGACCTCTACATCCAGGTAGGGCGGGCGGGGCAGGGCCTGGCCATGTGGTCCTGAGGCAGGGCTGGGGGTGGGGACTGGGAGGGAGGGAGGGAGGCTGACGGCTCCTGTCCTGTGCTCAGTCTGGGGAGGTCATGGCCCCGTCAGGCTCCCGGCCCCGCTGGGACCTCGGGGCCAGGGTCTGGGAGGAACAGTGAGCCGGTTGGCAGTGTTGGGGGCGGGCAGGGTGGCTCTGGCCCCAGCAGCTCCTCTGTGTGCCCAGATCATCAGGGCTGCCGCCGACCAGGACCGGGAGCTGTGCTGAAAAAGTCCATCGAGATGAAGTTCCTCACCGGCTACGAGGTCAAGGTGCGCGCCCGTGGCCCTGGTGGCTCATGTCTGCCGCTCCAGGCACACTCCGGGGCCTGCGGGGGGGGGGCGGGGGGGCGGAGGGGGCAGTGGACTCCTTTGCAGTCACAGCAGAGCCTCCGTTTATAAATGGGTGACACGAGGTGACAGCCACCCTCGCTGCAGAGCCCCCGGCCGCTCCGTGCCTGAAAGCCAGCCCCTGCCCCGCCTCTGTGCCCGAGGTTCTGAGTGGCAGGGCCTGGGGCAGCCGAGTGGGGTGCTTAAGGGACCTGTCAGGAAGGTGGCTTTCCCTTCTCACTCCAGCAACTCAGAGGTTTGCGCCTGGAGTTCGGGGGTTAGGAGCGGGGAGGAATCAGCCCGCTCACGGCAGCACTCGAGCCTGTTCTTAGGGCCTGAAAACTCTCCAGTCTGTTTTGCACACACAGTGAACCTGTGTGCCTTTAGGTGGGGCGCCTCCTGCCTGCATTGGGCTGCAGGCCCTGCCGTCCCTTCTGTCTCACACGGAGCCCAGGTCACGCATTAATGCTGCTTTCCAGCTCTGGTTACCAGGATCGATCTTGTGAAAAATGAAACACTCAGCTTCAAACCGAGCTTTCCGGGCGGCAGGCTGACCCCTTCCTTCTCTGCCTGCAGGCCATGGAAGATGCCCACGTAGACGCCATCCTCACGCTGGGGAAGGCCTTTGCCTCTCAGGAGCCCTTTGACTTTGGCACCCAGAGCACCACCGAGGAGATCCACAACCTGATTCCCATCATGCTGAAGCACCGGCTCATCCCGCCCCCCGAGGAGACCTACTCGCTGCACAGGAAGATGGGGGGCTCCTTCCTCATCTGCTCCAAGCTGAAGGCCAAGATCCCCTGCAAGGACATGTTCGAGGAGGCCTACAGCGGCTACTGCAAGAGGCGGGACGGGCAGTAGCACTCGGCCACGGAACCAGCAGGAAGCTGGTGGGGGCGGCGCTCCATTTAAACTCCTTGGCCCGCGGGGAGGGTGGCGGGCTCTGACCGGGACGCTGCTGGAGCCCCATTGCCAGCGCTTATCGGGGTTTTTATGGCTAAGAGGGTGCGGAGTGAGGTGTGCACGAATGAGAATGAAACCCCAGCTCCTCTGTCAGAATCTAACAGTTGTTTATTGAGCCTCTGAAATCCTCTAGATAAAGATAAAAAGGCAATTTTATTTCCTCTTAGTAACAGGGGTTTTACCTAATGTGAGTGTTAACCAGAAGGCGAGAATCCCCGCCACCAGGAAGAAGATAGAGAACCCTTCGGCTGCTGTGGAACATGAGTTAGAAGGTGTGCGCGTGTTTTCTGCCCTTTCCTCTCCAGCTTGTGATCGGCGTCCGGAGTCGGACGGGAGCAGTGCCCACAAGTACTGTTTGCCCGAGTGAGGCCTGCTCTCTGGCTGGTTGCTGTACTGAGAGAACTGGAAGTTTCTGGAGAATTGCTGCCTCCCATGGGTAGGGTCAGGAGCAGCAGAGGGAGAGAGAGAGAGAGCTCTGGTCTCGTAGCGCGGGTAGACGACGGTGTGTGGGGGACCCTCCTTCCCCTCCGGGCCCAGGGCCCTGGTGGAGTGATACGAACGTGCAGATGTCACATGGTTAGACCTGGGGTCCTCACAGGCTCTGTTAATTTTTGTAAAATTCTTGTAATTGTCTGATTTACTTGTTTCAATAAAAGCAAAACAGCCCAACCGGCGTGGCGCAGTGGTTGAGCGGCGACCTATGAACGAGGTCATGGCTCCGTTCCCGGTCAGGGCACAGGCCCGGGCTACAGGCTCGATCCCCAGTGTGGGGCGTGAAGGAGGCAGCACATCAATGATTCTCTCTACTCACTGATGTTTCTCTCTCTCCCTCTCTGAAATCAATAAAAATGTATTTTCAAAAAAAGGCAAACCATCCTACCGTTGTGGCATGAATTCTTTCCCTCCTAATGAGTGAGGAGCCCAAGGTCAGTGCACACCCGCCGCCTCCAGATGTTCCTGCGAGGCCTGCACATGTGCCCAGTGTGAGGCTTCTGAAAAGTGCCTGAGCCTGGAAGGCTTAGCCCACATTCATCATCAGAGAAAGGGGTTTGGGAGGAGAAAGGAAGCGGGGAGGGACAGCTCCGCATTACCACCCCAGCAACTCCCCTGCGCACCCCCAGGGCCCTACCCCACACACAGAAAAGCAATGCTGGCAACTGGGAAAGTGGCAGCCAGCAGGGTCCGCGCTCCTGAACCGCAGTGAAACCCACGTGAGAGATCAGCCGCAATGAACTCCCGAAGCGTGGCTCTCCCGGTGGGATGAGTTCCTCGGGAGCAGGAACATTCAGGGGAGGCTCTCCAAACACCGTGACCACCTGCAAAGTTCTCTCGGGGCTGAAATAACCGGGAGAGACCTGGTCCGAAGTAGGTTCGCACACAGGTCCTAAGGTGCTAAAGGCAAACCTTGGCAAGTTGAGATGGATAAGCAACAGACGCTGGGCTCGGACGGGAAGGCGTGGTCTCATGGCAGCTGCTGCCCTAGTACCAGCACCACCCGCCAATCATTTCATCCATCAATTTAAGAATCCCCGTTTTCTTTCATATGCACATGGAACAGTCTCCGGAATAGAACACATGCTAGGCCACCAAACAAGGTTCAATAAATTCAAGACTGAAGTCCTATCAAGCATCTTGTGCAACCAGAGTGGCATGAAACTAGAAACCCACTCAGGAAGAAAACCGGAAAAGAAACGAAGATGTGGAAACTAAACAACATGCTCCTAAACAACCAATGAGGATCAGGAGGAAATAAAAATCTGTCTTGAAACAAATGAAACACAACTTCTCAGAATGTATAGGACACAGCAAAAGCAGTTCTAAGGGAATTCCAGTTATACAGGCCGACCTCAAGGAACAAGGAAAATCATAAGCAACCAAATCTATATGTAAAGGACCTAAAAAAGAACAAAGCTCAAGTACACAGAAGGAAGGAAATAGTTAAGATCAGAGCAGAAATAAAATTAAAAAATAGAAAAAAAAATTACAGTTTAAAAATAAAACTAAGTAAAATTGACAAACCATTAGCTAAACTCATTTAAGAAAGCCCAAATAAAAATATGAACGAAAGAGAAATTACAACTGACACCACAGAAGTACAAAACGTCATTAAAGAATACTTATGTACAATTACATGCAACTAATTCAACAATCTAGAACAAATGGATACATTTCTAGAAAATGTATGGCTTCACAAGACTGAACCAAGAAATACAAAATCTAAACAATGATTACTAGTAGTGAAGTTGAAGGTGTAATAAAAAACCTCCAGCCCTGGCTGGGTGGCTCAGTTGATTGACTGGAATGTCCTGTAGACCAAAACCGCTTATGGGAAGCAACAGATTGATGTTTCTCTCTCTCTAAAATAAATTAAAAAATTCTTGGATGAGGATCAAAAAAAACACCTCCCAATAAATAAAAGTCCAGGACCAGATGGCTTCACAGGTGAGTTCTATCAAACAAAGAAGAATTAATACTTATTTTTCTGAAACTGTTTCAAAAAACCGGAAGAGGAAGAAGTGCTTCCAAACTTATTCCACAAAGTCAGCATCACCCTGACACTAAAACCAGAGACATTACAGGAAAAGAGAATTACAAGCCAATATCTGATGAACAGATACAAGAAGAAGAACTCTAAAGATTTCACTAAAAAACTATTAGAACGGATAAATTCAAGATACAAAACTAATATTCAGAAATTGGCTGCAATTAACTATCAGAGAATTTAAGACAATCCCATTTACAATTGCATCAAAAAGCATAAAATACCTATGAAGAAATTTAACCAAAGAGGTGAAAGATCTGTACTCTGAAAACTATAAGACACTGAAGAAAAATTGAAGAAGATACAAATAAATGGAAGGATATATACCATGTTCACAGATTGGAAGAATTAATATTGTTAAAATGTCCTTACTACCTAAAGCAATCTACAGATTTAGTGCAATCCCAATAGCGTTCTCAGCATTATAACAACTAATCCTAAAATTTATATGGAACCACAGAAGACCCTGAATAGCCAAAAACAATTTTGAGAACAAAAAGTAGGAGTGCCACGCTTAGTAATATCAAACTATACTAAAGTCTGTATTATTAAAACAGTGTGGAACTGGCATAAAAACATACACAGATCAATGGACTAGGATGGAGACCCCAGAAATGAATCCTTGCATACACAGCTGATCTATGAAAAAGGAGGCAAGGATAGTCTTCAATGAGTGGTGCTGGGAAAGTAGGACAGATAGATGCATAAAAAGGAAAGTGGACCACTTATATCACGTACAAAAATACACGGAAAATGGACTGAAGACTTAAACGTAAGGCCTGGAACCACAGACTGCTAGAAGAAAATAAGCAGTAAATCTGACATCACTCTTAGCAATATCTTCTTGGATACATCTCCTCAGACAAGGGAAACAAAATAAAAAATAAGCAAATGGTACAACTTCAAACTCAAAAGATCTGCACAGTGAAGGAAACCATTAAAACGAACAGATAACCTACGGAATGGGAGATGGTATTGGCCAATGATACACTGATAAAGGGTCAATATACAAAATACATAAGGAACTCGTATAACTTAACCAAACAATCCGATTAGAAAGGACAGAGGACCTGAATAGACACTTCTACAAAAAGGACATCAAATGGCCAACAGATGTATGAAAAGGTGCTCAATGTCACTAATCAGGAAAATACAAATTAAACCACAATGAGATGTCAGTGCATACGTGTCAGAATGGCCGTCACCAAGAAATCAGCAAGTGCTGGTGAGGATGGGAAGAAACCCACCTCAACTGTTGGGACTGTAAACTGATGCAGCTACTAGGGAAACAGTATAAAGATTGTTTAAAAAATTAGAAACAGAGCTGCCATACTACCAGCAGGTCCACTCCTGGGTACTTATTCAAAGAAATGCAAACACTAATCCACAAAGAGACCCACACCCACGCTCACCGCAGCGTTAGTAACAGCCAAGATGGGGAGACGCTGGCCGTGCAGGAGGCAGGCACTCGGGCTCCGGCCCGCAGAGAGCTGAGAGAGCTGAGAGCTTCAGGAGAAGGGAACGCGGCTCTCGGCTGAGCTATGGGGGACTAAGCAAGTCCTGGGCGCCTCCCCACGTCCTTCCACAGCGTAAGGAGGAGCCGGGCGAGCAGGGGCGGCAGGAAGCAGGGCCCGTGAGGCCAGTCCGTCGCCTTTGCTCCGTCCTCAGCCTTTATGATCAGGGAGGAAAGACAGCACCCTCCATTCTAACAGCCCGTTTTACTGCGACGCATCCAAGTCTGGTTAATACTGAGCGACTCCAACGTGAGATACTGGCGGGGAGTCTCTCACATTGTCACTGTCCACCTTCCATGTCTCTCACATTGTCACTGTCCACCTTCCATGTTTCTCACATTGTCACTGTCCACCTTCCATGTCTCTCACATTGTCACTGTCCACCTTCCATGTCTCTCACATTGTCACTTGTCCACCTATCCATGTTTCTCACATTGTCCACTGTCCACCTTTCCATGTCTCTCACATTGTCACTGTCCCCCTACATGTTTCTCACAATGGTACTGACCACCCTTCCAATGTATTC